ACATTAAAGATCATATCTCTTCACCATGTGCTCAGATAGAGTTTACTGCATGCTGTGAGGAGCCAGAGCAAGCTCCTTCAAAGTGAGGCGGGGGAGGCATAGGGAGACTCACACAGGGAGACATACAACTGTGTCAGAGGCTGGTCTGTATTGGGTGCTTGGCATGAGGGCTGCTATTCTGAAAGTCTTCAGCGAGGCACAGGCCCCTGAGTTGAATCTCAGGAGAGTAAAGTTTTTCCAAGCAAAGACAGGAGAGAGGGGCCTGTCACCTGGACAGAGGCCCTGAGGGAAATGCTGGGAGTCTGGGAGCTGTGAGTTCCTAGATGTAGCAGATTAGGATAGGAGAGGTGGGGTGAGGGTGGGGGTGACGAAAGCCCTTGTCTCAGATAAAACAGTTTTATCTTGACTTGAACAGGGAATTGTAATGTCAATAAGCAGCTGGATCAGGTTTGTATCCAAGAACAATTGGGAAGTAGAAATGATTGACTGGAAAGAGTTGTGATATGAAATTGCACTTCAGAACCAAAATACCAAATAGGTGATCCCAAAGTTATTCCTACCTTCTTGTCACCAAGAATAAAGATTTGAAATGATGTCTGAGGCCAAATGCAAATTTAAAGAAATACGGCCCAGTTGGATACTAGACTGTAGGGTCAGGTCAGTGTTGGGCTGATGGGGGACCCTCAAGAGGCAGTTGTGATGTTACCTTTCGTGGGCAGTCATTGAGTCACACCATAGGATGGGCTATTATGGCACATAGAGGCTATTCTTTTGACTACACTTTGTTCTTATTCTACCTGAAGTCATTTCCTTTTCATTTTGAGTTACTGTTGCCTTAAAAATAAAGGGGGGAGGGGGCGGGGGAAGCTGTTTAGAAGGACACAGTCCCAGTGTGGATTCTTTTCTTTCCTATGGCTTAAGGAATGCCAGTGTGTCTGGCACATGTCAGGAGCTTCCACTCGCCTATAAGGCATAAGCTGAGCCACTATCATACATGAAGAAGAAAAGGTTTAGAGACACTTGCTCAAATATCTATATAGTAAGTGGTACCACCTTGCAGTGGAGAGCCAGGATTTAATCCAGGTTTGTCTCTCACACCAGTGTTTTACTTCAGTTTGAATTTTTTCTTTTACTGCATCATGTTGCTCCTCTGAGAGGGTACTGTTCCCAAGGTGGGGGCTAACCAAAGCCCTGTCCCCAAATCTTGCATAGTTTTCTCCTCCTCAGCCATTTCCTTCTTGACTTGAAAGGCAGCTCCTCAGTCTTTCTCTAGGTATCTAGAGACAGCCCCACCTGGTCACTTCATGAAAGTTTATTCAGACTCCTTTGAGGGGCTTATCAGCACCTAAAGTTATTTTGTTACATGTTTCATACCTGTGACACACATGGGGACTGTAAGCTCCTTGAAGATCAAGCTCTGTATGTCTTGTCACACCGCTACACAGAGAAAAGTATCTAGCATGTAGCTGGTACTCAGTAAGTGTTGGTTGACTGACCTGCTGACTCACTGACAGCTACAAAGGGGTATTAATTCTGAGAATGAATGGTGGATTCTAGATGGGACATTTTATAGACTTCAAGAATACAGGTGATTGAAATCACCTTTCCATAGTCTCATTGCTAAGCAGCTGTTGTTTCTTTCCAAGATATTACCAGTAAAGAACAGAATAGAATGTAGGAAGCACTTACAGCTCTTTTCTGAGCCCATACTAAATTTCACTCTCATCAGTCTTCAAAGTTACATTAGAATAAGACAGAAAGGTAGCTCATTTTTCAAGCTACAATTTCCTTTAATGGTAGATCATAAATTGATTCAAATTCTAATGAGTTTCTGACAAATACTTGTGGCTAGTGAACAAGTCATGAATAAAAGCAAGTGCTGAATATTCACCAGCAAGGTTATTGGCTGTGATACTTAGGTGCCCTCTAGTGTGGGTTGGTTTTTACATCAGTTCCTTGCTGCACACATCATGTGATTAAGATCTGTGATGGATTCAGAATTAATTTTTCCAAGATTGACAATGGTCTGTCTGATCAACAGCTATGCAAGAAATGGGAACAAGGTGGTGCAGCAACTCAGAAATCAACGCTTCTACTCCGAGCTGTTATTTAGAAACATAAAATGCAATTGAGGTGACTGAGAACCAGGGGTGTGAATTTACCAGGGGTATGACAAAATGTTTTATATTATAAATTCTCAGGCATGGTTCCAAAATAGAAGATAGGAAGAAGTACAATGTGAAAAGTTGAGCTCCCACCCTGTGCCCCCTGCACCCTTCACGAGCCATCTGTATATCCTTCCACAGGCTTTTAAGCATGCCTAGCAGGTGATTTTTAAATTTATATTATTTTTATTCCTCCCCACTTTTAATACTGGATACATGTTGTGCTACATCTCTAATTTCTCTCTTAATCCTGATTAAAAGTATCCACAACTTTATGAAGAACATTCTCACTTTTTTGGTTAACAGCTCTACTGTAGTTTAAGTAACTGTATTATAGTTTATTTACATATGCCTCAAAGGATGGACATTTGGGTAGTTTCTAATCTTTGTGATTACAAAGAAGTGAATGATCCCATACAGGAGTTATTCTGCACACACCTAAATAGGACAAATCCCGAGCTATTATGAAGATTGTAAATAAGTACAATGCATAGTTCCTGCCTATAAGGGAATGTGTAACTGGTATTGGCAGAAAAGACCTGTGTACATTTCACATATAATAATTTGAAAGGAACATATTACTCTGTGTTGATGACTGTAATCAAGTAAAACAGGTATATACATCATTCTATCTGTTATATCAAGCTAATGCCTCTCCTTTTTAACAGGATAGGAATAAGATAAGGGAAATACATGCCAGGAAATGAAGAAACTTTGAGTACAATAACTAATCACCCCTTAGGCATTTGATCCTGCAGAATCTGTAGACCAGGTCAATGGCCACTTTAAGAATAACTTTGCAGCTTAAAGATTGAGCAAGACTAAAATTCTTTGAAGTTTTCCTCTTTGGCATAATAAAAATTAGGCTGTGCAATTTCTGACATTCATCTTTTCCCAATGTTGTTTAGTAAACTGAGTTATAACTACTAAGAAAAATTAGCAGTTAAGGAATTGGCAATTAGAGAATTTATAATAAATGTCTTTCCCCTTTTATTACTAGAAATATAACCATTTCTTTTGGCTTCTGTTTCTAGATCAGCTTCTATTGAGAACATATTTAAAAGTAATGAAAAAATATCATCTTAGCATGGAAGCAATTACTACCTAGAAACATTTTTCATACACATTGGACTGCTGAGTTTTATATTTTTAAATAGCAGTCAAGCAAAAATCAAAATTTCACATAAGTTTTATAAAGTAGAGAAGTGTAGTAAAACCCAAGTTGAGTAAAAATGTCAAAAATGCTTTAAACTAGCTATTAGTTTTGAAATCATAGTACACCTATTTCTTTGTTATTGGCTACAAAGACAAGGATGTGACATAATTCTTTTTAAGATTATTTTATTTATTTATGCACATAAGAATGAGGGAGTAAGCCAGAGCTGCAGGGGGGTGAAATGATTCACCAGAGACAAAGTGGGGAGCAGAACAGATGGATCTACTGAAAACACACTGTTGAGGGGAGCAGCAGGCAAGACAGGAGAGGTCTGCTGCACAGTGTGGGTCAGCTCCCTGACCAGGGATAGAACTTCTGTTGCAGTGGCTGCTGATAGTGCTGAGATTAACCCCTGTGCCACCAGGGAGCCCCTGTGACATAATTCTTTAAGACCATAAAGAGAGATGTTGAATCAAGAGAAAAATTACAAGTGTTCATCTACCTCATCTCTCTCGTATCATCAAAAAATCTCATGAGTTAGTTTAGGTTAAAGTACTTTGACCACAGACTTCCCCACCATCTGAAAGTACAGTGTTATTTGGTGTGTTTTGGCAGGTTGTTTTAGGTCTGGGAATACTCATACTATTCATTTCTATGGAACAGTTTTCAGGGTTCCCAGATTTCAAAATAACCTACTGAATGATACCAACTAGTATCATTTAGAATGATACCTAGTAGTATCACCCTACTTGTACATACCAAAGGAAACCCAGAGTACCAATTTGGATGTAGAGTGGTTCTAAAGCCTTCAGTTTAATGCAATGCCCCTTGCTTCATATTCGAAAGTGATGCCACATTAGTGGGTGATGAATTTCAAGTGGTTTCCATAAGGGGGTGGATGTATTGATCTAGATGCTTGTATCCATGAATGTAGGAGGTATACTGATGTGTTCTTTATGTGGACCCATGACAGAGAATTAAGTTTACTGACTAACTGGTATCCCCCATCTAGGATAGAATTTATCCTTCACATGATCAGAGGAGAAAGAGAGGGTACTGAGTATTCCAATTTTATAGCTGGAGAGACTAAGGATTAATTATATCACATCATTTGCACAGGATAATAAAGGACAGTGCAGTGTTGATCCATGGGAGTGGGAAACATAATAGAATCACTTGGATAATTAAAACAACTCATGTTTTGAACTCTGCCTCATTCCTACCACCCTGCATAATCTGAATTGAAAATCATTTCTGGATGTGAGTTGTTATTATTGACATGTCTTAAAACCAATGTTTTGGAGGCATTTACCAAGGTTGAAAACCAGTGCTGAAGGCAAATACCTCAAATAATCCAAACCTTAGTCCTGTAATTTGCCTCCTGGCATACACAGTTTTAAAAAATTCTATGGTTCTTTGAATGGAAACATTTTGGATATGAAATGGATTATCAGCAATCACAGTACACAGACGACTTTTATTTTGCACTTAAGAATTTGGGGATTCATTCCTTTGCTTTGTCAAAGAGGGGCAAGATCTGGGCTGGGAGGTAGTTTGCTCAACCAGCTGATTACACTGGCATCATCTCTCCAAAGGATATCCCACCATTTCAAACAAAGGCAAATTCCATTTTAGTATTTCAGGAGAGCTTTTTAAGTAGCCACTATGTACATACGTACCTGTTCGAGGTGAGTTTCCCCCCTTTTTCTGTTGTGAAGTTGGAGATAAGAGTCCATTTTAGGAGTGGGTAAACCCAAAGTCAGCTTGTTTTTTTCCACAAAATAGTGCTTGGACTTTCTTCGCCGAGGACCACGTGATCCTGGCAGGAAAACCTCATTGTGTGAACTTGAACTCTTCAAGTACCCAGAGAGGTTGCTGGACTTCTCCGGATCACTGTCACTCAGCTCTGAAAATGGCTGACTGCGGTGTGGGGCCCTCTGCTCATAGTTCGGGCTTACAAATTCACTGCCAAGTAAGGGTGTCACACTCTGAGGGCTGTTCTTCTGTTCCCCTTTCCCCCCTGAGAGATCCATTGAGGTCTCCTTGGAAGGGTAGAGTGGATCCAGAGTCAAATTTTCTGTAGAACTTTCCATAGACTCGGGTAATGCTTCTATGGTCAATAGCTGGGCCTCTTCCTTTTTATTCTTCCAGTTTGGGTCATATCGGAGGTCTGAATATTTGTCTTCTGTTGGTTGTCCGCTACCCAAAGCAGAAAAAAGATTATTTTCTTAATCGAAATAAGTATCTATAATGTCAAACCAGGGAGTCACTGAGGTTCAAGCAGTGCTATCACTTATGTTCACCATAAGTGTTTCTGCTGGTTTAGATAAAATGGACTTTACACTTCAGCTGGTGATAGATACATTAGACTATTTCTCTAGGGAGTATGTTGTCACTGTCATCTGCAACAAAATCATCTGCCTCAGTCTGCCCTCTTTTAGGGGGATGGTGGCAAGCAAGATTAATTTCAATTGAATATCTACAGTTTTAACCTCCTCAGTGATTTTACTTTTCACTTTGCCTTTGTGGTGCTTAAAATACTGCACTACAGAATGATGCCATTTCTTAGAATCAGGTGGTAGCTGCATGAAGGACTCTTGGTTGACATTTATTTGGCTGTCAGGTAGAAAACCCAAAAGTCAGCATGCATTTTAAGCTGTAGGACAGCCCTGGTCAAGTAAAAAGTGAAGCATGAGGGTCCTGCCAGAGGAAATGAATGAGGCTATAATCAGTGTATATGGCCCCAAATAAAATCCTCTTTTTTCCCAGGATGATCTCAATTGTAAAGCACCTCCTAGCCTTAACCAAAAATGGAAAAAAAAAAAAAAAGCTGGTAATACGGCATATTTAATGGCCCCTTTGATCTTCAAAAGCTAAATGGGAGAGATTTTCCTTCCTTGAGTACAGTAGATGCAATCCTCTAATCAAAAAGAAAATGTAAATCACCTAGGCTTTTTATGCTATTTGATATTCCCGTTTACTGCGGACATAATTTTATGCTGGGTAAACAAACTAATGGTGCCCCTAACGTTAATTTACTCTTCTTAATGTGGACCTAGACTTCTTTGATTTGAGGGAAAGCAAGCACTGGAGCAAACAGCCAAAACCCCCACGCCTTGCTCGATTGTCATTTTTGAATTTTTAGTTCTTATATTAAGATGGACAACTTCTTGGAATAGGCTGTTCTTTCTTTTCCACCCAGGAAAGAGAAATAATAATATTATCCAGAAAAATGCCTGGAGATGGTAACACTTGCCAGGAAAGGGTGTGTGGGGCTGTTCGTCTCACCACCCCCCTTCCTTCCTACACACACTCCAGGGAACCTGCTCCTGGCCATTGAGGGGTGCACTTTCTCCCATGCGATTCCACACCACGGGAACTCGCGCACTTTCTGTCTTTCCCTGGCTCTGAGGGCTACCAGGCATGGCTGGGACATGGAATGACCCAACATGGTGCAGTCTGGATTTGGGGCTGCGACAGACCTGGCCCAGGGTCTGGCTTTGTCACTACCTATCTGTGCATCCGCTGGTAAATCCTGTCATCTCTGAGTCAGTTTCGCTTATGGATGAGTAGGGATAAATCTTACTGTTTACATCTGGGAATTGCATAAGGACCCAAACAAGACTCTTGAAGCTCTTACTTGCACCTGTTTCCCTTTGGTAATCTGGCCGCCCCACCTAGTGAACGCAGGGCAGCAGGTTAACCCTTCCATCCCTAACCTCTGCCTCTACCCTTCCCCTGCGCAATGGGCAGAGCAGTCAAGGAGTGTTTTTCTTAAAATGTGACTTGGCCTCTCAAATTACTGCAGTCAGCGCCAATCTAGCACTAGATTCATATATTTTAAAATGATGTCAATTGGTGGTGGGGATTTTACAGGGATTACACCTGAGAGGAAGGGATTACACCTGAGAGGAGAAAGCACACATTGCACAGGAATGGACAATGATGTAAAATCTAAAAACAACAAAAATCAATGTCAGTAAATTAGAATCAAAATGTAGAGGAGAGCTTCTTGCATTGGGCCAAATTGGTGAATAACTTTAGGGCTTATTTGGTACTGACTCAACTGTAAGCTTCAATTGCAGTTGCTTAGGTGGGAAGAAAAATATTAGAAGTACCTCAATTATATCTTTGCTAAATTTTTTATTTTTTTTAAAGAAATTTTAATGGGAAATAGGTATTTTGCTATATCTATAATACGCTAAATAGGAAAAAATACATTTAACTTTCTCATTTGCTTACTCACTGATTTTTCAGGTATTTATTGAGCACTTATAAGTCAGGGACATAGAGTGGGGACTTGCAGCCTCAAGGGGCATACAGACAAGAACATAAGCAATTTAATGTTGGGATGCTGAGTATCCAGGTGGGAATATAGGAACAGCTAATCTTGGGGATGCAGGAAAAGCTTTCTGAAGATGTGGTTTAGCTGAGACCAACGGACAGAAGGGATATGCCAGGCTGGGGAAACAGAAAACATGATGGAAGGGAGGCGAACACAAGGCTTCAAAGACCAAGTTTGGAATGGATAAAATGAGGGCAGGAGGAGGGAAAGTTGAGCTAGGCTTAGGCAGAGGTGAGATTGTGAAGGGCTCAGTAAACTCTGGGGGAGTTTGGCTTGAGAGTTTGCATTTAATTTAATTCACAAGTGAAGACTCCAGTAAGAACATACATACTTCTGAATAGCCAGGGTGATATTTTCAGTGAGGATTATTTACAGAGGCTGCAGGGTAAGTTTTAGAGCAGGCAGTCTTCTCTGCACTAGCACAGAGGTTGGTGATCTTCAAGGTGACACTCTGTCACATTGAGGATCACTGTTCTGCCATGTAGTCACGGTGGGATGTAAAGCGCTGACTTTGGGACTCCACCTGCTTGCCGGTGGAAGTGTACTGTGAACCTCTAGTTTTCCCCTTAGAGCAACCCTATGAGGGAGGTACTCATGTTCTACCCATTTAATGGATGATGAACTGAGACTTAAAGTGCCCATGTCATTTTCCCCAAGGTGGTAGCACTAACAAGTGGCCATCAGAAGGTCTGCCCTGGTCCTGGCTCTGGTCTTGACATGGCCCTGTATCCCGTCCAGCAATTCCTGTGGAGATAGTTCTGAAGCAAGGGCTGTTGAAGGCCTGCCTCATGTGAGTTAGTAAATCTGTCCATCCGTCAGATAGATGGTCAGCCAGCACTGGGTAGCTCCCCAGGGACTGAGACTGAAACTGGAAAGGTGAATAAAACAGAAGCAGGTGCAGGTGGACGGAGCTTGCCTGCTCATGAAGAAGAATTTATGCACCTCCTGTAATGACCACTTTATGGACCTGATGCATAAAGAAATGCAGGATGTAATGGGTATTTAAAACAGGAAAACTATTATCGCTGAAAATGTCAATCTTTTATTTCCAGATGCAGTTGCTAGGTGATAGCGTAACTCCCAACTCTATTGTTTCATGCAATGCACTCACATAGGAAACAATAACTAAGGAATAGCCACTATTCTAAAAAAGCAGATAGCGTTCGGTGATTGAAGGAAGAGGCTTCCTTCCTTTCAGTGTCTTCCCTGACTGCTGCTGGTTATACTGGCTCATCATACTGAACCCACACCCACTGATGACAGTAAAATGCCTATTATCTTGATCAGACACCCCCTGTGCTCCGTCTCTCTGAGTAACTAGATGGAGTGTTTTGCTTCAGGGAAATGGCACAGCAGAGCGTGTCAGGGGCAGGGTTTTAGATCCAGATGGTCTACACTCAGTTCCTGGTGCCCTTAGTCACTGTGGGAGTGTGGGCAAGTGATAGATCTTCTCTATTAGCTCAGCTTGCTCATCCATAAAATGGATCTAATAATGTTGAGCAGATAAAGCAAGTGAATATATATAAATGCTTAGAACCATGGCTTGCTCCAGAGTGAGGGTCCAAAATGGACTCTCTCACTGGTCTTCATGCGTTGTGTGTTATGATCGCTGGCTGTTGTGATTGTGTATTGTGCTTCCTGCTGACGGTCTCAAGGGATCCTTTCCTCTCCGGGGCTTAACTTATTTCCATGGCACAACCTTGTTTTGTGATGCACTAAGTGGCACCTTGGCAACCTGAGGGAATTAACATGTATCTTAAAAAATCCAGTATTGTGTCATGATGTGGTCAGTGTGGAGAATCTGTTTGAACTACAATTTAGGAAATAGGATTAAGGGGGGCTGTGTTTCTGCATGATGACATATCTTTAAGGACTGCTGTAAGATGATGCGAATGATAAAACTGGGAAAGTAAAAATTACTGCAGACTGTCAGAAAGGGCTGTGATTTCTAACCTCCACAGATTTCCATTCTTAAGTGTCCACAGGCGGAGTATCACATGCTACAGAAAAGACAAGTGTTCTAAAGGGAACATAGAAAATAGAGCATTTTGAAATATATCGGGTAAAATGAATTGCTCTGGCTAAGAAAGGTGTTTTTGAGCCAGTAGTTGAAGAAAAAAATCAACATATAATGCAAGATTACAATCTGGAAATATAGAGTTTAAATTATGCTGCACTACTTATACCTGCGATGACTCTTTAAGTCCCCCCTTCCTCGATGGAAACCCTATGCTGAAACAAATGGGAGGTGATGTTTTGCAAATCATGAGCATTAACAGGCGGTAATACTTCGCAGGAACAAATGTAATGGCTGAACTAGGACATGCTACTAACGGAGCCCATTGTATCGAGCTGTGCGCTAAGAAGCTCCGTGGGCTTGTGCGGTCCAGGTCAACACGTAGGGACAAAACACATAGCCATCATCTGCACACCAAATCTGCACCTCTTTTCCTCCCCATCTGATAGAAAGGTTACACAGACAATGAGCACACAGTCTTTTGTTACTGTTCAGACAACAGATGCCTGGTCTCCTCTTCAGATACCTGGGTTAGAAATGGATGCAGAGAGGAAGAGGAGCGAGAGGATGGATTCATGTGCAGGCACTATGGTATTTGTTGGCTTTAATGGACCCTTGTTGAGTACTTACTGTGACAACTTCAAACAAAATAAAATCAAATCTCCATTTAATGAAGAACCTCATATTCAGTATACTATTCAATCAAAAAATTACTAAAATTAGAGCATGTTTCCAGTACAATTAACATCCTTTGCACTCATAATAAAATATTCAATAACTGGCCATTTTGCTTGTTGAGGAGGTGAATAAAAGCATTGCTATTAATCATTTAGCTGT